CATGATCAGGGGGCAGCAGGGCAGGCCTTACGAGGAGAGGCTACGGGACCTGAACCTGTTCAGCCTCCACAAGAGAAGGCTGAGGGGGGCTCTAGTGGCCTGTTACAAACTAGTCAGGGGGGACCAGCAGGCATTGGGGGAGTCCTTGCTCCCCCGAGCATTGCCAGGAGTGACTAGAAATAACAGTCACAAGCTGGCAGAGGGTAAATTCAGATTAGACATCAGGAGGTGCTACTTCACTGTCAGGGCGGCTAGGATCTGGAACCAACTTCCAAGCGAAGTGCTGCTGGCTCCTACCCTGGGGGTCTTTAAGACAAGGCTAGACAATCATCTGGCCGGGGTCATTTGACCCCAGTACTCTTTCCTGCCATGGCAGGGGGTCGGACTTGATGGTCTGCTCAGGTCCCTTCCGACCCTACTAACTATGAAACTATGAAGTAAATATCTGCAAAGCTTTAGGCTGCTGTGTACTAAAGCTCCCACCAGCTAAATGGCATGAGCAAGCTCTTTCTATTAGTCTCATGTGGGTTTCATTAGCAGTCACTTCAAACAGCTGGGCTGCTTACCTCCTCACGCATCTTTTTCACAGTCTCTCCTTTCTGAAATAAGAAGCAGAAACACAGCTATTGTAACATAATCAAACACGTTCATCTTACACTGTATCCCTACTGAAGCTTCTAAAAGCTATTACATTTCATAAAATATAAACAAAAACACAAAAATCTCTCTAAAGGGCTCCTGCTCTTTCCTCCATTCCCACATGTCAATTGTTTGTGTGTATACTCCTAGATGTTTTCATATGTAAAAATGTCGCCTTTGTACTCTTCAGATCTGCTCCCCAAGTTCATTGCAGTCAGTACTGCTCACTGTACAAATAATATCATATTCAAATCTAGTTAATATCAGTACACGCTGAATGTCTTTCTTTTCCAATTTCCTACTAGCAGCAGAATAGAAGCCTCCACGGAATAAATTCACAAACACTCACAGCATGTTTAGGAAATCTGGCACTTCAGTGTATTGTTTAAACAATGTGGTTGATGCCATATGTACATTTGGATTAGTATCTAGAAAGCTATTTCCACTTAGCTATTAATTACTCATTAGGAAAAGAATGGACAATGGAAAAATAAAAGCCAAGTTCAGGAGGGTAGATAGTCTCCTTATTAAAATCATTGTTAAAATAATCTCTTCTTGAACACACCTTGTAAAAGTATGACAGCATTCTAGAGTAATGATCTTCCAAACTTTCGAAGTAACCTAACTGCACCATGGAATAACACAGAACTTTTTACAGAGGTACAGTTGACCAAATGAGGTTCTATATTCTTTACAGTAAATGCCATCCAACTTGGAATTTTATATCTGTTCACCTTTTTTTTAGGTTTTCGTATTTTTTCAATAAGGTTGTGCTGCCATGCTTAAATTAGCACTCATTCCCTTACATTCTCTTACTCTGCTATTCAAGACTTACGTGCAGGGACAGATCCGGGGAGGGGTACACCTGTGCAACTCCCTTTGATTTTTGGTACAACCAAGGTTTAAAACCAACTGCCTCGATGTGGCAGCAACATTTCTAGTCAGGCACTGCTGAGGGAATCAATTGACTTCATGGCTCATTATAATCTACCCAAACCCTTCTAAAGTCTTCATTCCACAGCTGTTAACAACCCTCCCTTCTTTTTAATGTTCCTGATTTTTCATCAATCAAGTTATCCTTTGTTCTGCAATTCTGCTGTCTGTGAGCAGCTCCTCTTAATGTTGTTCCTATTTCACTACCCTGCAGATTGTTTATAACTCATTCCAATGAAGTTATATTTATTTTTGCTTCAATCTTAAATTGAATATACAATCCCAGGCCCCTAGCATATTAGTAAAGTTTCTAGTTTATCTTTAACTAGAGATGAATAAGTGTTGTTTTTATATGTGATGATGTAACTCACCATCTGCACCCCCTTTTCAAAAGTCTAGATCCACCCATACTTGTGTGTACTTGTTTGCTGTTAACTGGATTACCAATGTTGCAAAGACCAATATCTGTATTGACAACTTACTACCCTTGTTGTAAAGCTATTTTTTCCCGAAATGAACCAGGGGAACATAATCATGACCATATACATTAGTAGCCAGAGTGATGCAGAAAAGTTGAGAAAGAAGTGACAGTACTCTAGATGGACTTTTTAGGGAAAGCACTCTTTGATCTAATCTCCAAACACATGAGAGGTCTGTCACACAATCACATCTATAGATCTTCCAGTAATGACAAGACAGAATTAACCGCTATCAGAATGCAGGTTGCAAGTACTGTACATGTTCAAGGCTTATCATCATGGAGTTTCTAAATATGCAAGTGAAGATAAATTACCTTCCCAATGATGCTTCCAACTTCCTACAAAAAAGCCAAAGATAAAGACAATGAAATGACAGAACTATAAGACAATCTAATACAAGCTCTTAGTTAAACACAGGAGTTTGTATGCTAAGTGTGTTAAAGCCATCACAAAAGAAAGATGAGCAGAAGGAGAATTACTTCCTTATTTGAGAGGGGGTACTTACATTAGTTTTACAATATAAAATTTTACATAACCTGCAGAGGTTATAGCTTTAGTTGCTTTTTATGTTGCCACATAAGTAGTCTTGGCTATCATGCATGGCACTAATCCAGGAAAGCAGCCATGTTTAGCACAACACAACTATATGCTTGAGAGCTGTCCTGAATAGGGGCCTGTATATCTGTCAAGAAAAGTTTAAGTGGTTATCTGGTATTCTAGACAACCTCTTTATGAGGCAACCTATGAACAAACAGTGGTATCGTCAGAACATCAGAAGCAAAATCACACACAAGAAAATAAATGTCCGAAGAAAATAAATTCTTCAGTAAAAATCTCCTTTAAACAGAACGATGAGGCTCAAATTGGATAACTCTGTTATGCATCACCTCAGCAGCATGCCACTCTCCACCACAGGAGCACCACCACTTCTGCAATATTCTGCCAAGCAAGTGAATAGTTCAGCATTTCCAGGTGTTTCATAATGAAATGGAGGCAGCATGATGCTATGGGGTTTCCCAATGCTAACGTACACCTGGCATGAGTTCTGGACATGTTTGCATGTGTGTCTAATTAGTGCAGTAAAGCCCACAGCATGAAAGCAACAGGAAGGTGTTTCTGTTAAAGTCCTACAAGTTGGGTGCAAGTATGGACCTTCCCAATACCGTGATTTAAAGGAGTGGACTTCCTGAAGAAGTATTTCTTGAGTGCTCCATCATGACAATCAAGGGGACCAGCATCAAGAAAGGCAATTGGGATGGCACAAGGTGTTGAAAATTTCATAACAGAAAATCTCCCTTTCCTTCCTTCCCATACACCCTTATGCTTCAAGGTCAAATGTTCTCTGTCAATCTCCTCCACCACCCCATCGACACAAACTTCAATTATAACAACTTATCGTTGGTCTCCTTGATACATTTTTACTCTTGTAAATAAGGGGGATGGATTTTTTTTAACTTTGAATTAGCATAAAAAGGCTGAGAAACAATGCTAAAGTAGAAGAACAATGCCAAAAATGTCAGACGTCAGGTGCAGAAAAATATCTGATTATGTCTCATCTGGAACCAAGCTTTTCGGAGCGCTAGTGATGGGCCAGTCAAGGATACGCTGCCTGGGAGAGGTCTGAGGTCTGCTGCTCTCACAGAAATGCTGGCCTTCAGGTGGAGGATTGCTAATGGATGATTACTGTCCTCAGAGCCAAAAGCACCAGGTACTTGGCTGACTCTTTCTCCTTCACAGGTGCTGGATTTCCTGCCCTTCTCATTAATGCCCTGCACTTCTCCCAGGGACAGTCATCCACTAGAGAGGATACATGCACCAACTTAGATTTCAATGGCCCCCACTTTCTGCAGGGAAGGTCACACATGGTCTCCCAGAGTGTGGGGCTAGGCACTGACCCCTGCAATGGCCCTTATACACAAAACATCATAGCTCTGGCCAGGCATAATCCCTGAGCTCTGCTCTACCATGTCTCAGCATTGCCCAGACAGCAGGCCTCCCAGCACCAGGCCCTGGGGCTGGTAGGCTTGAGCATATTACTGTACAGCTTTTGATAACATCCTTTGTGGCCCCTCCATCTTGTCCCACTCTGATGCTCGGCCTTCTACTGCAGACAAATGATTTATTTCTAGTCTCCCTCTCAGGACCATCCAGCCTTGGCAGGGAAGGCACACAGTTGGACCCCTCTGGTGGTGCTCTGCAGGGATATGTCCCTCTCAGGGTAATGGGAGGGATCCAGTGCCTGGTGCCAGAGGAAGGGGAAACGAGCATCTTTCCCTGCGTATGCTCACACGAGGGAACACTGCCATGTGTTTTCTGTAGTGTTCTTGTTCTCTGCTGCCTATATCAGCCCTGGGGATGAATAGAGACTCCAGATGTGGGAACAGACCACCTGGAGACTGCCTGCATTTCTGGGGGGAGGCTGTGGGCACAAGGATGCTCCATGAGTAAGCATGTGTGTGGGCACATGAGTGTGTGGGCAAATGAGTTTGCAGAAGAGTCTCTGTGTTGCACTGTGTCTAGTGCGTAACTGTATTTGATTGTTTGTGGGACTATTCCCCCCACCTTTTTTCCTGCTGAACACCATGCAGCCAGCTTGTATTTCCCAGTGTCCTTCATGAGACCTCTGAGCCAGAGCCACACGTATCCAATCAGAGCAGTCTTATTGCTCCTAAGGGCTGGCTGGGAAGGAGCAGAGCCTGGGCACAACTGAACTACTGCAGCAGGGAAGTAGTTGCAGTGCCACACTCACCTCCCCTGGAGCAAGCAGAGCAGGAGCTGTACATCTCTGAGTTCGAGTTCCTTCCCCAGGCATGCTGACCCTCGCCCAGAACTATGCCTAACAGCCCAATCAAGCACTTCCTTTGAACATTTGTTATTTCATTATTCATGGAAATAGAACTGAAATGAAAATAACAGAAAGTGTGGCCCTATTTACCTTTCCATGCATGAGCAGCCGGATGGTGAGGGTAACATTCAGGCCACCTTCAGAGACTTTTGATTCCATTTCCTACCAAGGTATGGGAGATGAGCGTTAGGTAACAGGGAGGCCCCAAGGCAGGACAAAACAGCCCTAAAATAATATCACCTGTGAAGACAGAGAGGAAGAGCAGTTTTATTACCATCTTCTTGAAGAATGAGAGGCTTACCAGATAATCTCCCTCTTTCCATGACATCTGAACCCCAGAAGCACACCACTTCATTAGAGCAAACAGTTTCTGAATACAGCCACTAACATGATGCTTAGGGATCTCTGCACAATCACACTGAGTAATTTTACACTTCCTTTATTATTAACCTGGACTGATAGATCTTGCTTTCCCTTCTTGTGAGAGCTTGGGCCCTCAGTTGGCCTAATTTTCCTGGCTTTGATTCTTCATTACTAGCTCCTTGATCATTAATGGCCTGAGATCTAAAAACTGCCTTCTACAGAACATTAACAGTTGAGTGCCTTGCACACTCCTTGAGGTAAGGTTCAGAGATCACTGACCAAAGGAGTGAAATAGAGCTCTCATTCTTAGCTTTCCCGAATACCCTGGCTTTTTCTGCTTGTTTTTGTAATTCACAGAAGGCACAGGTGTACTGATGTGAGACATGCCTTCTTGCTTGTGCAATGTAAAATGAGCTTTCTACATTGCCACTTCCCTAGGAGATGGGAGATGCAGACTGAGACAGAGAGAACTCAAAACCAAACTCTGCCAGTTGTCTTTTCTCCATCTTGCTTAACCCACACTCTGTTAACTCAGCTTAAGACATGCCAACACTGCATCTGTGCCACACCTGACAAAGCTGGTATGGAGCAGGCCTCACCCACCAACTCCCATTCTGTACGTGAAAAATCCAGAAAAAAAGCCAATGTTGCTGCCTTAGGGTGGCCCTGAGTGCAGGCACACAAGTATACCCAAGACAGAGAGTCTAAGACCAGTGATGGGCACATGCTAAGCACCTGTTTCAGGAGATGGAGCATATACGAGTAGGTGGGGAGCCTAGTTAGCTTTGCTTTCTAGAAGGAAGAGTCTAGCTATATTTATGTTCTGTTGATCTATTTCTCTTTGCATTTCTCTATTATTTATCTCTGTAGACTACTTAAATGGCTCTCCCTTTCCTACCACTTTGCCAGAACCCTCAACTTCCTACCTCTCCGACAGCTCCCAACCTCTCTTTATGTCTCAGCTCATTTAATGTACTTGTCTTCACCTCCTCCATACCTTTCCCTGGACCCTTCAGGACTGGTTTCCTTTCCAATCTGCTGACATCACCCTCACAAGGGTCTCAAGCAGTCTAAGCCATCTTTGCACCTCCACTATTCTCAACTCTGCTAGAAGCCTGATTATTCCTGACAAAGTACAGTAGCCACTGGGCAGCTCTAACTTACTATCTCTCTCACAATGGCTGCAGGGCTGTGCTTGTAAGGCAAGCAGTGCAGAGGCACTGTAACAGTGCTCTCTCACTTACTTTTACCACCTGGGTAATGCTGGGATCTGTTTGTCCCCCCTTTATGGACATTTATATTATCAGAGGTAAAAAGTACAGGAAATCAGGGGGAGTGAGCTCCATAGGGTGTCTCTTAAGGTCCCATCCCCGCCACACACACACAATGCATTTCCTACACTCCCATGCCATTTTTGCAAAGAAGGAAAATAAGGCCAATTTTCATCACCCAACCACATCATAATTTACACTGAAATGTCAAAGGTGATAGGGCGTGGAGCCTTTGGCCCTCTGTGTGAGGCACAAGCTGGGATTGCAGCATATCAATGGTTCAGATACCTTTTCAAATCCACACAAGGGCTGTGGCAATGCAGTTTACTAAGGGATCACTTTTGTTATCATTGCAGCCTGTACCCATGCCTTGCACTTTACACACTCCACAAGGAAGGTGGACATGGCCAACTAGATGCACAACACTTAAGGATTTTGGAGGGTGAGAAATGTAAATGAACCTCTGAGATATAATTTGTTTCTAAATAGTCTAATTAAAGACTAGACAGATAGACACATGCATAGGTACAAGTGCCAAGACTGGAAGGAGAGAAACACAAATTAGTGATGAGTAACCGAGCAGTAAACAGAAGTCCACTTTCTTTGCTCACTGCATGTTCTATCTTGGAAAAGGTCTCCATGGCGAGTGAAAATTAAAGCCCTCTTTACTGAAAGAAGAGAAAACCCATCAGAACAGATATCAGAGGCCTCCTAATCCTCACTTGTTTAATGCTTTTTATAAATTACTCTATTCCTTTCTCTAAATTAACAGAGCAAAAGCTGCTTGCTAGTGGATCCTGATTCTTTCCAAACTGTTATCAACAATCTTTGCAAATAGAAGAACACTGTGCCCAGGAGTACAATGTTGCCATAGGCAAAAGACCATGGAATGCTCTTAGCTATCTGCCAGCTCCATCCATCATACTCTAGTCTGACTGCAAAAGGTCTCTCTTCCTCATGCTACATGTGATTTTGGCTACAGCTGCAGCACTGACAAAATATGTACTCCAGGAGAGATGGTCTTAAATTAGACTGACCTAGACAATGATGGCTAGGTGTGCTGCCCTCTGCAGAAAGCTGCATTCCCCAAGCAAAGGCTGGGATAAGCATACTGCTGGGCCTTTGAAGGAAGGGAGAGAAGGACAAAAGAGACACAGGACATCTCTGGCCAGGAGAAGAAAAGCATTGTTAGGATGGCAGAAGACAGGCAGCCTGGTGTGGCCATCGGAGGGAGCAGCTTACAGGTTCAGTTCCTCCCAGTTCTTGAGTGCAAATAGAATCAAAATGGCAGGGTGATTTTGCTATGGACTGTTGATGGTTTAGGCAGGGATGAACCTGCCTTGGGCAGGGAACTGGATTAGATGACCTTGTGAGGTCCGTTTCAGCTCTATTTTCCTACAGTCCTATGTTAGTGTTAATGTACAATGTAAAATCCCTTCCCCCCTCATATACTAGATGCTACTCCTGAAAGATCAAATTGGCTCCAACTTATTGCACAGATGGGCCCAGTAAGAATGCCAGGGAGAGACAATGGACCAAAAATAAATAATGAAGCCAGTCCATGGAATATACCCCCCAGGATGTTCTAGCAAGTCCCAGCCAATCACTTGCCCATGGCTACCCATGGGCTGGTCCCTCCAGTCCTGGTCCCCAGCATATACACACTGACATTTTTCTCCAGTTCAGTTCCTTTGCTAAATTAAGATGAATACAAATGGTGGATTGGGTGCTACAACCTGTATCTGCATCTAATTACCATGTATGTGTTTAAATATGCAGGAGTGAGAGAAGGATTTTAGTCCAAACATTAGCAGGTATTTGCACAGCAAGGCACTTTTCAGGGTAGAACTAAACTTGCAAAAGCAACTCAAGGAGGTTCCAGAAGAACAGACTGCAGCCTGACTGCATTTAGGGCTGTAGCCTCACTGCAAAGCAGGCTTGATCCAATTAGCAACAAAGAACTGAAATCAGACAAGGTAAAAAACAAATAGGAAAAGCTAAAGAACCTTTCCATTATTTAGCCGACGTGACTGAATCCATATAAAAGTGGAATGGGTTAAACCCAGAACAGGAAAAGGAGGCTGAAATGTTACTGGGAGAACACACTGGCAAGTTCCTTGCCAACATCGAAACCTGGGTAAGCCAATTTCTACCCAAAATTTTGTCATTTTAAATGGATCGGTGTAACTGTTCAGTACCTGGAAAGTAATGTTGGGAAAATCAAAGAATTACAATCATAGATGGTGGACTGCTGAAGCCTGACATGGAAATTTTTAAAAGACATGGAACATCAGTTGTGTCTGTGTTTGTATATTTAGCAAATTTGGATTGGCTAGATCAGGGGTATCAAAGATCCAGCCCACAGGCAGTATTTGGCCCACAGAGCCCCATCATTGGGCCCTTGGTGCCTCTCAGTCTGGACTTGACCCATATTTCACAGGCCCTGGATGCATGCTGCACACAGTGCTTTTCCAGCCAGCCTGAGAACCACACTGCATATAGTACTTACCCCAACTGATCCAGGACCTGCACTACACATACTGCTAAACCAAGCTGGTCCACAGTTACAAACCAACTGGAGTGGATGCCACATAAGCCAAATGTAATGGACCGGACCAGGCGCTGTGTATGGTGTAGTCCTACACAGGCCAGAGCCGGGGCTAAATTCACTGGATCAGACATGTGGAGGGGAAGGGTCCTTCAGCCTAATCCAGCCCAAAGGGCCAGATGATTTTGACAGCCGTCAGCTACATGGAAATGGACCAGTTGCTGATAAGTCAGCTGAGTTGGGAAATGTGTGCCAGAGAGTAGATGCAGCAGTTAGGAGAGGCTCAATAGGCAGCTCTTGTGTATCATGTATAGAATAGCTACCTTTTTATTTTGGGCAATGTGCAAGTCTTGTCATATCTGGGGGATAATTATCCTTTCACAGTAAATCCAATTTTACACATTTTGCATTTCATTTAATAAAAACTTTTCCAGATTTTTTTCAATGGGGGAGGGGGGGATCTGTGTTTTTTTTTTCTGACCCAGAGAAAATCAGAGCAAGTTATGCTGCCTCTGCAGCACTTTCTACATCCCTCTAACACCTCTGTTCAGTTTCATCTCCAAGTATACTGTCTAAACACAGAATTTCTCTGCAGCTAATTCATAGATTCATAGACTTTAGGGCTGGAAGGGACCTCAGAAGATCAGAGTCCAGCCCCAGTTTCTCAGAACTGAAATATTGCTTTATGTGGCTCCATCTAACAGAAAACTGCTTGCATTCTGTCCTCTATAATGCCTTGCAATCTGTAGCTATTCTGCTCAGGTTTGCTTAATCCCTTAGTATATTAGTGCTGGGAATTTACAGATATGTGATTTTGTCATCATGACTATGAACATCTGGTGCTTCCCTTTGCTCAACCCAGGATTTGTTTGTCCTTAAAATACAAAAGGGAACCACAGCAAATCTAAGTGGGTCCTCATGGATGACCCTGCTTTGGCAGCTACACTGAGGGTACGAATTGTTGCAATGAAAACAGGCAC